CAAAAAAAACCCAAAAACTAAAAAAACAAGAAAACAACAACAACAAAAAACGGAAAACCTGATCAGGCATAGTGGCTCACACCTGTAATCCCAGCACTTTAGGAGGCTGAGGCAGGCAGATCACTTGAGATCAGGAGTTCTGGACCAGCCTGGCCAACATGGTAAAACCCTGTCTCTACTAAGAATGTAAAAATCAGCCTGCCAGGCATAGTGACAGATGCCTGTAATCCAGCTACTCTGGAGGCTGAGGCACGAAAATTGCTTGAACCTGGGAGGCGGAAACTGCAGTGAGCCAAGATTGCGCCACTGCACTTCCAGCCTGGGAAACAGAGAAAGACTGAAAAAAAAAAAAAAAAAAAAAAATGTAAAGCCAGTGTCAAAACACTAAAATGCATTCCAAAATCAAGTGGCTATGATTTGTGGCACTCCTTCTAATTAGCAGTGATAATCAAGAAATGAAAATTGCAATTATTTCTTCTGAGAAAACTACTTTAAGTATGATATACTATATGCAGATGAAAATGGTAAGGGCTGAGAGGGTAACAGTGTTCAGGTGGTATTTTATTTCTCCTGGAAGATGCAGGAATTGGGAGGGAGGCAAGGATAAAGCCATGGAGGAAGTAATCAAGACTTGAGGGTATTAAGGATGGTGGAAAACTTTCCCAGCCAAAGGAGCAGTTCTGAACACTCTGCTATACATTCCCAGAACAATATGATGAAGAAATGGTATAGACAGATGTGGGACTTCTTCATGCCCAAAACTGAACTTACTTATTTTCATTTGTTGTTTTTTAAACCACAGGAGTGCTAACTGAATAACCCTCTGAAATGCAATGGAGTTCAGATATCTTAGAGAATCATAAAAATAGAAATGAAAATTTTATTTTATTCTGGAGAGAAAGGGGTGTTTTGGGCAATTTTCACGGCTGGGGGAGCAGAATTGATTTACTTGTTAATCTTTTGGCAACTGAGAAATCTTTTTTTTTTTTGAGACAGAGTCTCACTCTGTTGCCCAGGCTGGAGTGCAGTAGTGTGATCTCAGCTCACTGCAACCTCCACCTCCTGGTTTCAAGTGATTCTCCTGCCTCAGCCTCCCAAATACCTGAGATTAGATGTGTGCCACCACAATTGGCTAATTTTTGTATTTTTAGCAGAGACAGAGTTTCACCCTGTTGACCAGGCTGGTCTTGAACTCCTGACCCTGTGATCCTCCTGCCTCAGCCTCCCAAAGTGCTGAGATTACAGTTGTGAGCCACCACACCTGGCCGACAGTTGAGAAATCTTAACCTCAGATTCCTAGCTGTGAACTTCCTTTTCATCAGCAACTGAGTCCACACTGGAACATTTTCAAAGGAGTGCCAATAAGATTCACCCATCAAATATGTTGTGTATTATAAGATCAATGACACCTCATAACCTTTGTTTCCATGGGCAACTTTGCCACTATACATGCAGTTAAGGTATTAGACATACATACCTTGGAAAGAATTTGACATGTATTTTCAAATGCAATGAGTTAGGTAGAATGCAAAGCAGAGTAACAAGAGGTAATGTTTTTACCTACTGCTTACTTTTGCATTTGACATGTATTTAATATGTTCAATGTAGCAAGAATTGCTATTATTACTGTATACATCAAGACCAACACGAATGCATTGATGAAGATGGAAAACACAAGAGAAAAACATTAAGTAGTCTTATTACAAGAAAAAAAGGGTAAGAGGTAAATGATTCAAAACCTAAACGAAAATGAATATATACAGATATACTGTCCTCCATTCTGTGCATGAAAGAATTATTTGGATATAAAAATTAAGTATCCTTATATTCTGGGTTTCTTGGATACAATTTTCCTCCTTAAAACTATTTTTTTCAACTATTTCAGGAAATTTTAAAATCTAAAATAACTCTTTTTAATCTGGGCTCCAAGAAGAAAAAAGAAATAAATACTTACAATGAATTGACTGCTCTGCCTTGAAAAACAGAACAAATTTTACTTTTTTTTTTTTTTGACTAAAAATAGGTTAGAAATAATGGGGATCATGACGTAATTCATATTCTAGTATTATCCCCAAAATAAGGGCAAGTAAAATCAGGTTCATCATTCTTTTTTTTTTTTGCCTGTTAATTTATGGGTAACAGAGGGTTCATCATTCTTTGTGATAAGAAATAATACCTTCTCAGAAGGCAAAGAAAATAATTTCAACATTAGTAACAATGGAGAAGAGTCAACAAAAAGTTTGAAAACTCTAGCATTGTAAGATCAAGCTTAATAATCACAGGACTGTCAATTTTTATATGATTGTCATAAAAAAAGAAAGTCAAAATTATTCTTGGTAAAGTCAGGTGTCTATACAAAGTGTCATTTTCATGCAGGTTGCCTTGGATTGAGGTAAAGACCTTTCATCTGAATTTGCACGAAAGGTTTCTGCAGCTTGACAGCATGAGGCTGCTCTCCAGTGTGTACTCCTAGGCACCTGAATGCTGTGTGTGATTAACTGAGACTCATTTTATCATAGTTTAAATCTGCAACATCAATTTAATTCAGCTTTTTTCCCCCTCAACAGTTCTGCCTAGTATCTCTGTTAAGCACAGGCAAAATCTTTATTTTGACATGGACTAAATCATTATGAATTTGAGAGAAATAAGTCATCAGGAACTAGCAAACACAGTCACGTGTTACTTAATAACAAGTATACATTCTGAGAAATGCATTGTCAGGCAATATTGCCCTTGTACGAACATTGCAGAGTGTACTTCCACAAACCTAGATGGTATGGCCTCCTACACGCCTAGGCCATATAATATAAACTATTGCTCACAAGCTACAAACCTGTCCAGCATGTTACTGTACGGAATGCTGAAGGCAACTGTAATACAATGGTATTTGTGTATCTAAGCATAGAAAAGCTACAGTAAAAATATGGTATTATAATCTTATAGAACCACTGTTGTATATGCAGTCTGTGGTTCATTAAAATGTCATTATGAGCTGCATGACTGCATACTGCTAAATTTTCACTTTAGAGACCATAAGCCTAAAGGAAAGAGAAGATTTCTCTTACCTGAGATTAATGCTTTTCAAAGTCTCTGGAGTTTGGATTCATAGTTGGTATTTACCAATGGTTATTTGTATCACAATTTTAACATAAAGGATAACCCAGTTATCTTTCATAGTCCGAAATTAAAGTCTTCATACCTTTCTATTGTGATTCTGGTCTATGTAGGTATAATTAAGTACAAAACCCCAAAGATCTGGAAAGTGCCATAAAGCAGGGTGCTTTAATAAGGGAAGTGGATTTTTTTTTTTTTAAACATTTACTCATTCTTTTTTGAACAGTCAGTTACACAATGTAGTTTTAGCCTGCTGAAGTCAATGGCTACAGAATAAAAGCCTTATATCCTGGGAACAGAGCAGGGCTCCCTGGCCAGTGAGAACCAATACCAGTCAATTCTGCTGGTAGCAAGCAAGATCCCTGGATAGAAAAGCAGCACTCCAGAGGCCTCAGGAGTGCTAATAACTCTCTCCTCCTCGTGCTCAAAGTCTCATTCAGTGTATTTGCTTGCAATGTCTACATGAATATGCTCACGAGAAATGTGAATAAAAACCAGATACCATTTAACATTAGTATGTTATTAAAAATTTACCTCTAGTATTCCTGGTGAGAAGTGACAAATTCAAGCAAATGGTTTTGTTATCACTTTTGGGCATCATCATGTTAAAGAGAAAAGATGTCGTAAAAATACGAGAACCTCTGTCACTTTATTGCTATGGTCTAAGTAATTTGGGCTATTTAATGATTTCTGTATCATCTAAGACAAACAAATCAAGAACTCCATTTAAAGCTGTTATTGCAGAAATATACTGTGTGGGGCCCCAGTTAAACCTTTCTGATTTGAAGTGTTTTTCTGAAATAAAATGTAAAAAAATATTTTCCACTGAAGGTAACAGAGAAATTGTTTGATTCAACATAAAGACGAAGACACATTTTCTTCTATTTTTTGAGACAGTACACTTTGTGATTCACAGGATAACTTGCATCAGACGCAATTTAATGAAAGCTCTCAAATAAGCGATTTTATTCCTATCCATGATTGCAGACATTTACAAAACCATAACATCTGAGTTCACCTTAAAAAATAACTTATATAAAGCAGTGATATACACAGCACAAAATAGTTCAGGGAGGGGGCAGGAGCAACTTGTAATAATTAAAATGTAAACGTGAAAAAAAGGATGGAATAAAAGTCCCTACTTATTTCTACTTAAGATGTCATGTGATAATATTTTACAATGTCCTGTGGGTCAATGTATGTATGTGTCTATGTCCGTATAACATACACATATACAGTACATTCTCTTTCCCACACATATACATACACACATAATTATTTGCAGTTCAGTTTAGGGCAATTCTAATATGCCACTCCGTACAGTTGTTTGAATCACGTTTGGACCCGCTTTCTTCACAAAATAGGGGAGAGAGCAGGAAATAAAAAGGTTGGTTTGGTGTGACTGAGATTCCTTTGTTTAACTGTACACTGTGATGAATAATTTTCTTCTGTAGTAGTTCTGTGAAGGGCTGACTCACTGCGGTTTTCATGAGGAGACTTGGTAATGGATCACACGCTCATTGTCATGCTAGGGGAGTACTAGAAGGAAAGAAGAATCCATATTTTAACAACAATTCTTTTAGAGATCACTAAGGTTCTTCTTGGTACAATAGAAATGATGAATTCTAATTTCTTATCATCTTTTATGTGCAAGATTTTCATCTCATACAACATAAAATAAGAAGTATAAAAAGAGTAAACTGATACAGACTTAACTTAGTACCGAAATTTTAAATGTTTCCCCTGGAAAGCATCAAGTCCTGTTCCCTCCCTGCACCCTGAAGGCTGATCATTACCCAACCCCCTGCCTTCTCCCTCCAAACAGATTGATGTTTTCAAGGCACTTGTAAAAAACTTGGGTAAATTTAGTCCAAGGCCGTACCATAATTAAGTAAGTATGAGGACTAGTCGTTGCTATCTACTAGCTTGTAAACTGAGGAGGCTGCCTAACCTGTCTTGACTCAGTTTCTCTATCTGTAAAGGGATTTGGGGAAGATTAGATATAAAACCCTTAAACCATGAATTTGTTGAATACACAGAAAGGGCTTAGCAGGTGTTAGGTTAATATTGTAGGGAAACAACAACAACAAAAACCAACTCCAAGCTGGCCCTGGGAAGCTCTGATTAAGGCATTTAAAATACTTAAGAGTCTAATATATACTTTAGCGTTTCAAGCATCTTGCTCATAATTTGCAACTCTATAATCTTTTTTGTTTGTGTGAAACAGGGTTTGGCTCTGTCACTCACACTGGAGTATAGTGGTGTGATCTTGGCTCACTGCCACCTTGATCTCTCCAGGCTCAGGTGATCCCCCAGGTAGCTTGGACTACAGGCGCATGCCACCACACATGGCTAAAGTTTGTATTTTTTGTAGAGATGGGGTTTCACCATGTTGCCCAGGCTGATTCCTGGGCTCAAGCAATCTGCTTGTCTTGGCCTCCTAAAGTGCTGAGATTACAGGTATGAGCCACTGTGCTTTGGCCTGTGACTCTAACTGTAATCCACAATCATTTGTGTGTGTGAGTAGGAACATCACTGTTACATGCTGACTTGTCAGTCTGATGAGGCTGACAAATGATAAAAGGTGAGGGTTTTAGAGATTTGGAGAAAGTGGTTTCAATTGCTAATTGTACCACTGTACCCTCATATTATTGGGGAATAGACTGTGACAGAAAAGTTCTACAGCAGCACCATGCAAGAGAACTTTCTTCAATGACATACCTGTTCTGTGGTCTGTGCTGTCCAACCTGGAGGTAACTAGCCATATGTGCCTACTGAGCGCATGACATGTGATTAGTGCAATCAAAACACTAAATGTTTAATGTTATTTAATGTTAATGTATTTAAGTATCTACATGTAGCTAGTGGTTACCATTTTGGACATCACAGCTCTAGACTATCTGAGTTGTGGGGAGAGGCATCTAATCCCACATGGTAATCTACTCCTTGGATGAAGACAGTTTCTAAATTAAAATGTAAATGTGGATCCTGAAATGTTTTAAATGTTTTACTGGAAATCTGTGAGGACCAGGGTAAAAAGCAATTTCTTTCAACATGCAAATAACAATTGCGCCACCTGGAAAAAGGCAGATAAAGTCAAAGGGATGGGTCCCAGGCTCCAGGGACCTAACCAGAAGCTGTGATAATCCTGGGTAGGGGAGCATGAACTTTTCAGAAAGTTGGCAGAAAGAGAAAAGAATGAAGTGAATTCTAGACAAGTTGAGACAAACTGCAGAAACCAGAAAAGACATATATGTGTGTACTGATTTAAGGACAGATTACAGTGTGAAAGCAGGACTCCCCGGGGAAGAGCACAGGGGGCAATGGCTCAGCTGACATACGACACCATTAGGGCTCAAACCAAAAACATGCACTGTTCCTGAGGAAAGGTGGGTGATTAGGCCTGGAAAAGGGTCCTGGACCACAGGAAGAGGATCGTTTAATCCTTTAAACATGGATTACATCAAGAAAAATCTATTAATACTTGTTAATCACTTCACAGCCTACAGTGTTTCAGCATAGAAAGTGAAGTTACATACTTGAACTGATCCTATATGTAGGATTATAGTGAGTATATGATGATAAAAAGGGAAGACTTTTAGACAAGACCATAGGAGAAAAAAAAAAANAAAAAAAAAAAAAAAGAGGGCAACTACCAGAAACAAGAAAGGGGATTCAGTTTAGACAAACCTCTCCGCTTGATCAGAGCAGCAGAAAAGGAAAGTAAAGCAAAATCCCCAGTCATAGACAAACGCTGATGACATGGAGCTGATCCCTGACCCTGTGTCAGAGGGGAACATACTACCATTTCATCACAAGATCCCATGCACATAATGTGATTCCACGTCTCACATTATATATATCAAGCATTTTTATTTGTTGCTATCATCTCAACAGTTCCAACTGTTAACATTTTTTTATCTGTGATATTTCAAATGTTTGAAGCAAATTTTACAGAAAAATGATACTTTGTTACTAATGTGTTGGGAAGTTAAAAGAGTGAGGTTGAGCCAGGGAGGAAACTGAGTGAAAAAATAGAGAAAATAAAGGCCCAATTCAGTCAAATGACAGGATCAGCTCCACGCAATACAATACAGCTCAGAAAAAGGAGTAAGCATCTAATAAAGTTTAAATTTTAAGTAGTACAAATAACCGTAAGATGATATGCTAAATGTATTTAGTATAGTAAAATAGTTTGTATTTATGCCAAGTATCTACATACACAATGTGCTATTTACAATTCTAAGACTGTAAACTGCTCATCTTCGACTGCTGTTACTGAAACTACTTTGAAAAATGAAATAAGGGGAAATAAAATTTCTAGGAAAACTCACAGAATAGGCAAGCAAAAAGGAATTTTGCTATAGATTACTATTCTTCAAAGTAGTAGAGAAGTGGCCTACACTTTTCCAGAAGTAAAGGAAGAGTAGGTGTTAAATGGAGTACCATTTTTAGAGACATAAAATATTCATGGTGTACTGTTCTGAGACCACACTTCAATGTTTCTATTGAAGTGCTGCATCAATATGTGATGACATGTTGTAATGTTTATGCCAAAATGCTGTGATATCGGGTTGCCCTGTTTCAAAACTATTCTGTGAGTCTGGCTCTCCTGAACCAGATGATAAAATGGCTTTTACAAAGCAGTCAACAGCATTACTGCTTGGTTTGGTTAAAAATATAAACCTTAAAAATATTATTTTAAATGCATACCAACTTATTTTATCTTTTAATGTGAAATGAGATAGCATGCTTTGGGTATGAACTTATGATTTTTTTTCCCTTATTATGCCAGGTAATGTACCATAAAAATCCATCAGAGATTTCCATGAAATCTTTGAACAATATATATAAATTTCTGTTTATACATGTCAAGAACACTTTAATTCTCACTATATTTCTGTTTAAGATCTGTATGATACTTTATTTTCTTAATGAAGTAAAGAAGAGTTCCTCTACCCTGCGCTTAACTAAAGTGAAATACATTGAGTGTTTATATGATTACATTAAAAAACTGGGGCTGATGTGATTTCTTTACAATATTGAAAAATGACAAAGGGGAGTAAGGGAATGAGAGATCATCTACCATCTTGTTTGTAATTCCTATTTGTTGTAATTATTTTAATATGATGTTACATTTATTTTTAGTGTATACAATACACTAAATTGGTTACATTTCAGTGCTATGAGAAAATATTTTGCTAAATTAATTCAGGAAATAAGACCAGCTACTTTCTTCACCTGAAAAGCATGAAAAACTATTTTTTTCAGTTAAGCCTTTTTGTATTCTGTACTTTCCAAAACAAATATTTTACAGTTTGAACACTAGGGGGCATCTTTGTTTCTTGAAATAAAGGGTCTTGGTTGTGATCTTAAAAAATAACCTAAGCAGTGAAACATTTTTTGATTCACATTTTGTTTTGTCAAGCATGTTGGCACTGCAAGGTTTATGATTTTAAGTTGGGCATTTTTGTTTCTATATTAACTGAATGAAGTAGCATGTGTGAGTGTGAAGAGACTAGGATAGTATCTAGTACATGAAGAGAACTCAATAGATATGTTCTCCCTTCCCAGGCCTCCTGTGATTTAACTTCAAGATAAAAACTGACAGATCCTTCAAAGGCAGACTGCTCAAAAATATGTGCTTTCAGAGTTATGTGTATTAAACACTAGAACTTGCATGTTCATTTATTGAAAAATGTTTTCTTTTTGAATTCATTAAGAGTTCTGCTTTTTCTTGATTATAAACAAAGCTAACTTATTGGGAATAACTAGCTTGTTTACTTCTTCAAAGCTTTACATCTGTCAGCACCAAATCTCTTTTGTCTTTCTTCCTCTCTCCTCTTATTGCTTGATTTTATAAAAAGGTCTAAACAAAAATATATGGTAATATGACAGAGAAAGACATAGATGACAATGACATCATTCATAACAACTCCCTTCTCAGCAGACAAAAGACTGGAGAAGCCAGTGCAGACCTGCTTCCAAGGCTGTACTACCATCCAGGGTGGTGGTGCAGTTTCTTAGTACACTGTCAAATTATTTTTCCTTTTACAACTTTTCTGGTGGGGACAGGAGACAAGGAGGGAAGAGAAAGCAGGGAGCTTCTGTTTGCTGCTAACTCTGCTGGCAGTCTAGCACTGAACCCGCTTAGGCTCAGGAGCAGGGAGCGTGGGCCAGATGTTAGGGGTGGAAGAAGCCCTGTTCAGTTGCACTTATTTCTAAATGCACATGTTCACAGAAGAATCCGCTGTTTGGCATGTGCATAGTCCAGTAGGGACTGAAGGGAGAGGCTGGAGCTGATTCTGTGCAAGGAAGTTCTCCACATCCTGTTATATCTGATTCTTTGCCCCACTGAAGAGCTTTCTGATGCCAATTTTGAATTGGTACCCCTCTTCCAACTGTTAAACAAGGCAGTAGTCACTAATGACAAATCTGGGAAGGAAGGAGAGGAGACAGTTCCTCTTGTCACTGCCCATAAAATAAAAGTCACATGGAACCTTTTTAAAAAAGTTTTTTTCCAACTCCAAATTAATCATTTCCTCTGATTTTTAAAATACCTGGCTTATATATACATTATAGCACTCATTAATCTGACATGTTTTAGTTATATAAACATCTGTTTTTCCTAATTGGCTTGCATTCTTTGAGAGTAGGTGTTATATTTATTTGAGAACACCTTGGTCTTAACCTGATGCTTTGCATATAATAGGCTCAATAAATGTTACACTGAATTGAATTATCAAATACCTCACTGAATTATACCATTTTATTGATGGTAAAATTATCAGAAAAGGAAGTAAATGTCTTTAATTAGATAAAAGTGAACAAAGAAAAATTAATTTGTCCATAGTTTTGAAGCAAACCGCTCAAAGAACCAGGATCTAAAAAATAATTCCCATAATCCTAAAGTATTATGACTTAAATTATGTAGCTTCTCATGTTTTTCCTTATCACTGACAGGTTTTTTTTTTTACTGTAAATTTTTACAAATAAAAAAATTATTTGTCCTCAGTAATCATATGTAGCCTGCAAGTAAAACAAACTGTGGATCAGCATAATTTTAACAGAAATAAAGTCTAAAGCAGGGGAAGCCTGTCCCTTGCAAAGGTCCTATGTAGATATCAGAACAAAAAGAATCCACAGAGCACTCAATCTTATGATCTGTTTTGGGAATGGAACAGCCAACTCTGTATGAAGCAGCCACTCTGTATAAAGGTAGATGTGCTATTAGTCAGTGCTTCAAATTCTGATGGTGTCACCTCTGGTACATGCTGAATTAGGCAAAAGAAGGGCAGTTTCTCTTCTGATTCTGACTGTAGTTTGGTAGGTCCGCCATAATAAATTTTAATGATGGCATGAATCCTATGAAGATAAAATTCATTTGGGTTTTGAAATCTTTTATGCTATAATTCAATTCAGTGGTTCTTAGCAGAGAATGTATACCAGCCTCACTAACAAAGCTTTTCCACATTCAAGTATGCCCAGCCCCACTCCTGGAAATTCTGATTCACTAGGTCTAGGGAGAGTTCTGGGAAACTGTATTTTAAAAAATTCCACTGGGGTTTCTAATGTGAAATATTAATGTAAAAAAAATCATTACATTATGTAGAACTCCTTGAGAAAAGGCACCATTTTGTCGTTTTGGTTTTTCCAGTACCTAGCATATTGCCTTGGCATGTGGCAAGTACTCAGTAATTGCTTGTTAAATGAATGAATTCTATTGCTTCTCTTTTTGGTTCTGTCTACTTCTGTGAAGATATGAAATGAACTTCTGTGTAACAGTACAATCACACGCAAACAGTGACTTGGGTGTTTAGCTCAGGTTAACAGACCGCCAATTTGGCCTTCAGTCCAGTAAGGTCTACTATATAAAGTAAGAACAGACTTTAGATTTTGAGGGCAGCACTGCAACAGACCTAGTTTTGCAGCAATCTGTAACATTTTAGTAGCAGGAAAACTTATAAAAATTATCAAATAGGCAACCTGTTTCCAGTTTGCTCATTTACAGTAGAGTTTCTCAATGAGAAAATTAGTATTACAGTTTTTCTAACTATGTACACAGAATAGGAGTAAAAAAGAAAAAGTTTGTTTTCAAAATTATTTTCAAAGATATTCTATTTAAAGGTTCATCTGACTTCTAACAGATCAACCTATTGAACTCTAGATAAACAGCAGTAAAAGTGACTTTATGCATTAATTCTAGCAGAAGAGCTTCAGAAATAAAATCTGGGTATGACATAGTCAAGAGAATACTTACACTCTCACTCTGAAAAGGATTTAAGAAATTTCCCCCCATTTCGCCATCATCCCTTGGAGTGCCCGGTTGATTACTCAGGCTCATGTTATTGGGAGAATTCTGTAAACAAGATTTAGAAAACAAGGCATTGTTGAAGATTTTAATTTCCCTCTTACATTGTGCTGTTTCAAATACTGAATCTATAGCAGCATCTCTAAGGACAAACCATACTTAGAATTTTAATCTCAGACTTCTACCACTTCTATTCTATTTCATTCTTTCAGCTTTGACAAGTACTAATGCCTTCCCAAATGAAAATTAAAAAAACAAACAAAAAAAGCCCAATAACCTACCACAACTATTTTTTTTTTTAGTTTCTGAATCAATATTTATTCAATTTCCTACCCTCAGCTTACAGAGTTCCTAAAACTCCAGAGTTTAAAACATTCCCAGCAGGGGCATGATGAAGAGATGCGACCCACTGATAAGGAGAGATGGAACAATAACTCCCTTAGTCATTTCATTAACCAGACTTTAAAAGGTCACTGTTTTAATAAACATTTCCTTTTAATTCTACCTGTAGTACACAGATAACACTATTTCAACCATTTTTACATGAACTTTAAGGAAAAAAGAAATACAGCTAACAAATGTAGTTAAGAACAAGACAGACACCTTAGGACTTGAGAATTCATTACGTACTTTTAGAGGAAAAGGGGGCTCAAAAGAAAACTACTTTAGAACATTTTCCTATCATTAGTTTAAGAGTAGATTTACTTTAAAACTTTCCTTGAAGATCAAATGGCTGCTATTAGCAATCTAATCAAACACCAACTTAGCAGTGCACTGCTTCATATTCTATTTAAATTTACTAGTCTTATTATTACCATGCAATTTTAGCCGTGGCAGGATACCTGATATTCCACATCAACAGAAAATATAGAATGACACCAGACTATAAACCAGGTTTATACAGTAGTACAACTGTAATTCTTTCAAGGTCCAATTTATTAACTTTTTGGAATTTGTTTTTAGATTTTTTTTTTAAAAAAAAATTGCTCAGAGTTTTGTCTTAACTACGACAACTTTATTGTAAACATTAACATTTCATGAATGAGTTATTCCCAAAAGAAAAACATGCTTTTTTAGTATATGATTACAATGTAAAGCAGTGACAGGTAGACAAGCTGGTGGAAATGCACTTGTGTCTTGTCTTGCTGTGCACCCCACAGGGAGGATCTGAGAACACGAATCCTCTGAAGTCCACTGGAGCTCTATATGTCAAGAAACCCCAAGGACTCGGGAAACATACTTTAATAGCATAAAGAGGATTCTATTTTTTTTTGATAAATTTTTCTCTGAAAATGTTAGTTACCCAAGTATACAGAAAAGCAACTATACTTTGAAATGAACCTGAATGTCTCAATTTCCTGGGGAAAAAATTAAGTAAAATTTAACTAACTGCATTATTTTAGAATTCATTAATTATTACAGTTATTAGTTAAATAATAAACTGTCCCTTGAAAACAGGAATGATACTACCAACTTAGCTCAAAAAGGAAACTGAATTGATAAAAAATATTATAAGATTTACTCATAATTTATAAAATCTTTTAGATTTCTGTCATTTTATATATAATGGAGAAATTGGTAATACTAGATAAAACACAATCTAATATATATATACATATATATAAGAAAATTCAAGGATGCAGTTGGAAGCTGCATATTTTACACAGTCAAACAAAAGAACAAAATGAACTCTCATTCTTGTGTAACATTCATACCCTCTGTGGTATATAAGGTGCCTTGAGAGAAGCTGTGTATCTCAGATTCAGTTGGAGTGCTTTAAATCTTTGCTGCACATTTGGCCACATATCACTTCTTGATTTCTAATTCGGAAAGTTTAGCTAACCTGATTCCTAACTCAAAGTGTTGATTTTTAAATATTTAGAATTTAAAAGTAACATTGCATTGCTAATATTTAGATACCTTCAAAATAATTTCAATGTTATTATTTCTGTTTCACATGCAACTTCTTCATAGCATGATGGCTCAGCATCATATTCGTGTGTGTGTGGTGGGGATGGGTATTTAAGGACACTGAGAAGAAGATTAAAAGCAGACATTCAATATACAAAACTGAGATAAAATCAGATCTCTGAAACCTATTCCTATTCAGCCTACTGGACCATATTTAAAAAGCTTGAAATGATAGGACAATAAGTTTTTGTTTGTTTAACTGATCTCTGAAAAATTTGAAAACAACAGAAGCTCCTCAATGCGAGATCTTAAGAAAACTGTGCTGTCCATAATCAAAGTGACATGATGATATAGGCTAAAGGGCACATTCAATATTGGCATCTGAGGGACAGCTAAGACAGTGGTACCAAAAACCATCCCAGAACAGGTTAGGAGGGTGCGTGGCAATGAACTGTGTGTATACTTCATTTAACTGTAGCTGTATTTGTGTAATATGTCCAGTAGCTTTCACCAACAAGGCAAGAATATGATGTACAAAAAGGACTTAGGTTGGTCAAAAAGGCACTCAAATTTCTTCAGCACAAAAGAGTACAAGATTACTTTTAACTATATTAGGCCTATTGGTTACAGTTATTTCAGTTAATGTGTACTTTATTCCCTACTTTAAGAGGTCAGCTTGAAAAAATATGGTTAGGATTATACTGATTCCATCTTCAAGACATTTTATTACATTCTCACTTATTTCTTCAAGGTGAAAAGTCTTTCTCTTAAGCTATGATGTCATACATGAATGTTTTATGTATATATATGCATACACACACATAATACACCACAAACACAATTTCCTCTGGCTGCCATGTTTAACACTGTTAGACCCTCTGGTCTGATTTCATTTAGCAGGTATTCCATAGCTTCTTTTCTTTTTCTTTTTTTGGGACACGGTCTCTGTCACCCAGGCTGGAATACAGTGGTGAGATCATAGCTCACTACAGCCCTGGACTCTTGGGCTCAAGTGATGCTTCTGCCTCAGCCTCCTGAGTAGCTAGGACTACAGATATGTGCCACCACATCTGGTTAATTTAAAAAATGCTTTGTAAAGATAAGATCTCACTATGTTGTTCAGGCTCGTCATGAATTCCTGGACTCAAGCAGTCCTCCCACCGTGACATCCCAAAGTGCTGGGATAACAGGTGTGGGCCAATGTGCCCAGCCCATATTTTTTCTTAATTAGTAAGTTATTATCTCTTTTCCTATCCTCAAACTCTGTTCTAAACCTTTTAAAACTTTTAAAAATTCTAATTTTTTCCATTTTCGATTTTAAAAAGTGAACATTTGTAGAAACTGTGGTTCTGCCTATAATTAGAATAAAATACTAATGACATTATTCTAAGTACAGCTAGTGCTCGACTTATGACCATGGTCGGGACTGTGGACCAGTCGTAATACGATTTGCTTGTAAGTTGAGTAGGCGATATGTACAGTTGAAATGGTGCACGCGGAGATGGCAGTGCTGCCGGAAGCTGGTCCACACTGTCGTAGGCCCAGCTGGGCAACGTTTGCGCTGCCAGACGCGGAGCAGTCGTGGCTAGCGATTGTGGTCGTAAAGTCGAATGGTCGTAAGTTGCATAGGTGGTAAGTCAATAAATACCTGTAGTGGATTTTGAATTGTTTTCTCACAGGCTGCCAATAGTGAGTTTTATAGAGTGTTGTTTTGACTCTGCTAGCTCCCTCAAATTACAAACTGTCAAATCATTCTCCCAGTGGGTATAGCTGAGCTAGAACTCAGGTCAGCACACCTGAGATGATGGTGGAGATCTCTAGTCATCTACTAGCTCCCTTGTGAACAGTGTAGAATCTGTAGCTGGAATGAAAGTTCTTGAGGTCAGAATGCTTCAGGTTGAAAATACATCCTTGATAATTTATTAAACATGATACGATCAGAGCTTGTCACATACATATTTTTTCAAACTCAAAAACATAAACGTGAGTTATGTTAATGTAAACTGTAGAATTTTTAGGTTCTTTTCTTCTAAGAAAACAAACTGGCCGGGTGTGATGGCCCACACCTGTAATCCCAGCACTTTGGGAAGCTGAGGCAGGCAGATCATGAGGTCAGGAGTTTGAGACCAGCCTGGCCAGCATGGTGAAATCCCATCTGTAGTAAAAATACAAAAATTAGCTGGGCGTGGTGGCACGCGCCTGTAGTCCCAGCTACTCAGGAGGCTCAGGCAGGAGAACTGCTTTACCTGGGAGGTGGAGGTTGCAGTGAGACTTTGTCTCAAAAAAACCCAAAAAAAACAAAAAACACAAAAAAACCCAAAAAACAAACCATATACTTCTCTCTATCCCCAACCCCTAACACAACTCCAAGGAAAAATATTTTTGTTCCATTAATTAAATGGGTGAACCCTCAGTTATTAAAGGGATGAAAGGAATTTCACATATCATCTTTAAAGCCCTTCTAAATTAAAGATAAATTCTGCATTTTGAAAAAGAGGCACAAGAGCATTACTAGGTAATGCTCAACTAAGCAAGAAATAATTTTGAAACTTCATTGGAAGCTTTGAATTCATTTTGCTGACTGAAACAGTGCCATCAAAGTGCATTTGATAGTGTGAATTCCTAGCCTTGTCCACAAAAGATTGTGTAGCTAATGAGAAGGAAGATATTTAGTGTCTGTACAGCACTTCATAGCCCTTAACATATGTTCACACTTGATTCTCAACAATTTTCTGAAGTAGGCAGGGAATGAAGTACAAGCTTTTGTACAGCTAAGCAAACTACGCCTATGAGAGATTAAGTAACATGCTACTGTAACTTGTAAGTACTGTAGTAGCACCAGGCTTTCTGAATCTCAGTTCAGTACTCTTTATTTATCTTATATATAAAAATGGATAAAATAGAGTATCTATGCAATAAAAAGTAGAAAACAATTGAAGTGGCACTTATCCACATTTAAAATGCAGAATTTTTTTTAATATGTGATACTGGTACTTGACAAAATACAGATTATTTAACTGAAGAACTATATAGCACTGTAGCTAGAGACCTAAGAGGGACTTTAAAAATTACTAAGCAATAATGGTAAGACTGTCTTTGGATTCACAAACAAAATTACTAGAAAAAAACAAAACAGGATTGGTAATGAATGATAGTGAATGATTCCAGGAAAACAAACGGAAGGAGAAAGCTTCTTGAGATAGCTGAACATGAGCTGGAAAAGGAAGAAATGTAGGAAGAGCAGAGTTAGTGACTGTGCATACCTTGGAGTAAAAAACTGAAAAAATTAGGCTGGGAGTGGAAAGAAGCAGGAAGAGAAAGAATCTGGGGCAGGAGGTATACAATGTGCATGACGCTGCTGATGCTCTTAAGAGAATGAGTGACTATAGTGAGACAGACACTAGTGGTACTATCACCCAGGGTCGGCCAGCGCAGACCCAATGAACTTGGAGCAGAGGCGGCATAGAAATGAGCTGCGTGGGAACTCATTTTAAGGCAGATTTAACTAGTCAATTCTAGTACATTGTTAAGTGGCATGTTTATTACCGGGGGATAAATCTTATATTAACTTAAATGCATATTAATTTTGCTTTATAAAAGTTTTTTATCCTATTTGTTTGATCTCCTCTGTTAAACTGAACTTCTTGAGGGCAGACAAAGTATCTTGTTTATCTTTGGATTTTTAGAGCCCAGCATAATAACTTAGTGCATCAACATTTAGTGAATGAAGGAACTCTTGCTTAAGAATACACCACTTGAGGGCAGAGATTGTGTTCGTTGTTAAAGAAGTCTTTTTTATGTCCCCACAGTGCAGAAGGCAATACCCAGCACACAAAAGTACACACTGGATGGTTGGTTACTGCTTAGAGCACAAGCAATGCATCATTAGGCAAGAGAATGTTACGAGGCGGGGGCACAGTACGGTGGAAAACTTGTATCTGAAAACAGGCAAGGGAAAGTAAGCACAGAAGGAATAGCAACCAATCTGATATGAGGGCAGATTAGAAGATGGCATTTAATTCATCATTATGACTATTTAAAAATTTTAAACTGTTTTATAAATTATAAAGTACTTTCCCATATAGAATTTTGTTTATAACTATCTTATGTAAAGGTAAGTAGGTGGTGAAAATTTTAGGAAGATGGCCTAAAATCATCTGGATGATCCTACTTTTGTGTAATTAAGAATCCATCTCTAGGTAAAAGAATATGCTTCTCAAATATGGCACTAGAAGTTTCACTGGAGACCGCAAAGCACAATTTGGTTGATTCAATTGTTAGAAATAACTGAGACGCTGGGTGCAGTGGGAAACGCCTGTAACCCCAGCACTTTTGGAGGCCGAGGCGTGTGGATCACCTGAGGTCAGGAGTTTGAGACCAGACTGACCAACATGGCGAAACCCTGTCTCTACTAAAAATACAAAAATTAGCTGGGTGTGGTGGTATGCACCTTTAGTCCCAGCTACTTGGGAGGCTGAGACAGCAGAATTGCTTGAACCCGGGAGGGGGAGGTTGCAGTGAGCCGAGATTGCACCACTGCACTCCAGCATGGGTGACAGAGCAAGGCTCCATTTCAAAAAAAAAAAAAAGAAATACCTGAGACAGCCAACATAATCATGGTCATCTGACTTGCAAAGGCCTGGAGAGAAGGCGCTAATAAAGTTACATAGGGAATTTTGTTTTGAAATAGGCTTCATAAATATCATTTCTCACAGAGGTAAGCTAGTACTCATTATAAATATTTATCTATTTTTAGAAATGAAAAAGACCTTTTTGACTGTTTCTAAACATAATTGTTTCTAAACATAGACATCTAAAATACCTGTGGAAATGTGAGGCAAAGCAGCCAAGCAGTAGAGTTATAATGCTAGAATTCTAATTAAATGTTTTTTAAAACTTGAAGTATTAATTTAAAATGTTTTTTAGCTCAATCAATTTTATTTTATTTTTCTTGGCAGCAGGAATTTTACATTATTATACATAAATATAAATTAGCACATGTATGCCAGAACTTAAAGTATAATAAGTAAATATTTTTTAAAAAGTCATCCCTTAATGAATTTCTCTGCTTATTGATATAGAGGAGACTACTAAGACAGCCATTCTGGTAGTAGCGAATAATTAGTTCTCATCAGTAATTCTAAATACATTTGACTCACCGAGAACTACTTTAACTTCATCATGACCTAAATAGTATTTAGGTATTATTCTTCAAAAATATAAGGCATTTTATTAAAGGATTCATTTTAGATATTCAAACTATTGAAAGAGGGAAAATGCAACTATTTACTAATGAAAGGCTCTCTTTCCTACTTGTACTAATATAATTTTCCTCTAATCACTTTCTTACTCTATTTTGGGGACTAGAATAATTATTGTGGAAATCGGCATTTCCTAATGAAGGTCTGCAAGATGAATTGAATATGTAAAGGCAATGCCCTTATGATACATAAGAACCACTTTTTCAGATTCACCTCTCCTAACATTTCTTTAGATATCTTTACATTTTCAAAAGATTACTAAATTCTGTAAGTTTGCTTTACAAATAAGCAACATCGTAATGTGATTAAATCTGTTATTACTCGGGTATCAATTAATAACGTATAGTATGCCCTGTTAATGAATCTTAGCATATTTATTCTTAAAAAACTTAGTTTAGCCTTTCCCACAGATAATATACATTAATATTCCTAACTTCCAATTAATTATACCTGGTCTTCTACTTTCAAACTCTTGTTCAAGAACAATATTCATAAGTTTACTCTAATAATTTTAATGAGAGTTCCATGTTAAATACAGTTGATTAAAAGCAACACAGAATACACAGCACTCACCTTGGAAATACTGTCCATATCTCCCGAGCCTGAAACAAAATATAAAAAGAAAGCCTTTATTAGGTAAGATTCCATTTATAAATACTCCTTTAATTTAAATAAGTGAAGTATACTATATGTATTTTCCAGTGTATAACTCCTGAGTTTTTTAATCTGAAAAAGTTGCTTTTCTTTTATACAGTATGTTGAATCAGTACCATCTGATGGAAAATCCAAGGAATTCTATCGCTAGTTCCCGATCATTTTTTTAAATGGAAGTATGAAGAAAACTGTTATCATAGATTCCTGAACGTGAAAGTTTAGAAAGACCATTTACATACCCTAACCAATTAAAAATTTAAAAACGTATATATATATATATATATATATATTATATATATATATATATTATATATATATACGTTATATATATATATATTATATATATATACGTTATATATATATATATATAACATATATAGAGATATCTACGTATTTTTTTAAAAATGATGCTGTAAATCTGATAAAATATATAATGAACACTTGCAACAATATTTGACAATATTTTAAACCATACTTTAGTATAATAACCAAAAGCTAGGTATTAATAATATTAAAAAGTTGATAGCAATGAATATTCATGATAATCCTTCAAAACTAAAAATGTCTTTAAATATTATATTTTTATTTTGATCCTTGGAAGAAATAATCAATATTAATTTATTTTCTTATGTAAGAAATAGAGGTCAAGCACAGTGGCTAACGCCTATAATCCCAGCACTTTGGAAGGCTGAGGTGGGTGAGTTATTTGAGGTCTGGAGTTTGAGACTAGCCTGGTCAAACATGGTGAAATCCTGCCTCTACTAATTAGCTGGGCATGGTGGCAGCCTCCCATAATCCCAGCTACTCAGGAGGCTGAGGCAGGAAAATCACTTGAACCTGGGAGGTGGAGGTTGCAGTGAGTCGAGATGGTGCCACTGCACTCTAGCATGGGTGACAAGAATAAGACTGTCTCAGATAAAAAAAGAAAAAAGAAATAGAATCATACATAGGTAATAGAACAATAATCAGATCTTTGCCACAATATTAACTTTATTTTAAACAATTTTACTTCTGACAATTAATTTTCCTAGCATAAAAATAACATTTTAGTAGCACAGCATTCAGTCAAAATTACAAATAAAACTAGGGCTTATTAACATAAGTTGCAAATAAACAGGCACAATAAATTATTAAATACTGAATGCATATACGCAATCTTACATATGTGTATATATAATACGTACAGTAATGTTAATTATAGAAAGCAATGAGCCAGTTGCCAAGCATAGGTGAAAATCTTCTGAAAATTCTATTCTAGTGACTAAGATAATGAGCGCCTTCTAACTATACCAAATATCATCTTTTTGTGAATAGTTCTAAAATAACAATAGTGGAAAGTGAATTATTTTGCAAGAAATTGGAAAATAAAATTCTAGAATGGTGCTGTCCAACAGAATTTTGTGCAATAATGGAAATGTTTCTCTGTGATGTTCATTAAGGTAGTCATTAGGTACAAGTGGCTGCTGTGTACCTGATATGTGGCAGTGCAACTGAAGAACTGAATTTTAAAATTTACTTAATTTAAAATTAAATAGTCACATATGACTTGTGGCTAATGCAATTGGACAGTGCAAATCAAGACTCTGAAATCTAGGCAAAATAAGTATGAATCCTTAAAAGCTCAAAAGTCTGTTAGTGTACTGCAAATAATTTCTGGATTACTGAAAGATTTTCCAAGTATCAGAGGGAGGCATTTCCTGACCTTAGGTGGGGGAGTAAAATCTGTATATAACCTAAATTACTCACGAATATACTTTTTCCAACTTAAGTAAAAGATGAACCCTTCCCCAAAGAAAAAAATCACAACTCCCACCCACATTGTCAACTTTTAAATTAGTTTATGGTCATGTTACTTAAACGTATACAAACATAAAAAGTGATTTTTTTTTTTTGTTTTGCATTCAACCTATGTGAATGCAAAACAAATATAACTACGGTATGGCCTAGTCAATTTTGCAACACTTATCTCTATTTCTCACTATTGTTCAAGTTTTTATTCACCTTGCAGCTATTTAGCTTCATATGGTAAGAGGACATCATTTATAAAGTATGTTTTCTTTTTCTTTTCTTTTCTTTTTTTTTTTTTTGAGACAGAGTTTTGTTCTTGTCACCCAGGTTTGAGTGCAGTGGTGCAATCTCGGCTCACTGCAACCTCTGCCTCCCAGGTTCAAGCGATTCCTCCATCTCAGCGTCCCAAGTAACTGGGATTACAGGCACCCGCCACCATGCCCAGTTAATTTTTGTTTTTTTTAGTAGAGATGGGGTTTCACCATGTTGGCCAGACTGGTCTTGAATTCCTAACCTCAGGTGATCTGCCCACTTCGGCCTCCCAAAGTTCTGGGATTACAGACATGAGCCATGGTGCCCAGGCTATAAAGTTATGTTTTTAACCATCAGTCACATACTTGAAATGGTCTTTATCATGAAGACAATATAGGCAGTGTTCTCTTTTAAGAGAATCATTCAAATTATCCAGAATATGATTAACAATTTTATGTTAAACAGGAGGCAAACATAAAAATACAAAAACAAAATTAAGAAATGCTTGGAGAGAACTGAAGTTCTTTGAGGCTGTGTCCACAGAACTCTGGAGACAAACAAACAAACAAACAACAGAAAGAAAAACAGCTACAAGAATACTGCAGTCTTCCGGGTTAGGTAAGCATGACACATGCCCACAGCAGCAATGTCTCCTTTTATGGTAAGACATGAAATTTCGGTAGGTTAAAGTAAATAACTGTGAATATGAACTAGATCAACTCTCACACTTCTGATCTTCAAGTGATCTACAGTTCTAATAACCAATACAATGTAGATTAAACTACCTGTATGAGTTAAAAGTTGAAGTATTTAAAAATGAGTAGCTGGCTATGAAAGAACTTTGGAAACCATAATATCCACTATGCAGAATTAAGGTTTTGTTCTGGATTTATTCTAAACATCAAACTGAAAAGCCTTACCTAAAGAGCCATTCATGTGATGTGACTCCATTCCTCCTAATCCACCCATGGGACCATCTGACCCAGGGCCCATTGGAAACTATTTTAAAAATGAAGAAAATCGCTGTAATCATACTGAAAACAATGGCTTATCTCAATTTTATAACATATTTAACATTACAAGACACTGCCACAACTTATTTTCACTTTCAAGCTATGGAGATCTTTGTTTTTCAGCCTTGTAGATTCTCTAGCTGGACTGTTCACCTCTCTCATATTGTTTTCTCTGTGTTCCAGATAATAGAATTTTAGGTTAATCCTCATTCATCGCCAAAGTTTTCTTCTTCAGATATACTCAGTTAGAAAGTATATACATTCCAGTACAAATGAGAAGATAAACATTTTCCTCTATGATACTGACAAATTTTTCTATTGAAAACCAAAGGTGGTTCTTAAGAAGCTGTTAATGGTATTAGCTTATTAAGAAGCATAATTCAATGTCATATGCCAACGTTAGTGTTTTTCTTAGCAGACAATCTATCTTTGTTCAAATGGACATAATAAATAATTTCATCTTATAGGTTAAATACATTTCATTCCCTGGGGATGGCTGATATATAGCTAATTCTTCTTGGCAGTCTCAACCATGTCACTTCAATGACACTCAGACATTGCATAGCAATTCTTTTAAAGAGGTGAAATTCTTTTTTTCTTTCCTTTCTTTTCAGGTGAAATCTTACATTAGAAGCCTGGTACAAAACAGGTGTGACATGATGGGCTTGGTGATAGAAAATCCATGGCCCACCCCACTCAGTCTTCCTCTCATCTCCCTGGTACACTGAGGAAACCCAGGGCCCAGTTCGAAGACAAGTTACTACTTCTAAGTACCTTACACTGCTGAAAATGCTCTTTCTTCAAATTTCCCATGCCAAAAGCATTTCTACCATGTTGTATGGTGAAGAATATTGACTATGGTGTGTGCATGTGTGGATGGAGTGGTGGTGGTTACTAATCATGAGGCTTTTAGGGAGAAATAACAGCCTTCAGCAGGTAATCCCCGTATTTCACCACCTCTGTGTGGGAATAAGATGGCCTTCTATCACTGTGAGCATACCAACCACATGCTTATGAAATTCCCCAAGAGAATGCCAATTTTGCTTGGTCAAATTGAGTACCTAAAAGCACATAGGATGGTTGGTATTCAGTAAACAACTTGGAATATATATGCCTCACTGATAGAAGACATATATAAGTCAAAGAAATTGACTTTAAACTTACTGCTGTTATTCAGCTGTTACCAAAAGCATAGTTTAGATATGGGTTGAGAAACTGGTGCTGGTAAGCCTAGTAGCCTGTGAACTTCTATCTGGCCCCCACAGTGTTTTAAAAGACACTAAAACTATAGGTATGTATGTTTGGTCAGTTTAGCACATAACATATTTATCTTCTGATTTTTCTTTGATTTCTGCTACCATATATACAACACATGTATAAATGTATTAACTATGTTATAAATATTTTTATAAACATATAGGCCTAATAAATAAATAAAATGTTTTCCTATGAGCTTCTGTGGAAAAATCATGACCACAGGCTTTATTAAGAACACCCAAGTTCTTCCTGTAATAACTGCTTTAGCTCCATATCTAAACTCTAGATTTCATATTCTAAAAAAAAGAAACATAGCCAACTTCCTACTTTATTTTCAAGTTTATCAGGATAAAAAAGGATCACAATGAAAAAACTTAATGATGCCAAAAATGAGGTTAATATAAATGATTATATATAACCTGTTATTTTCAAACAGTATAAGTCATTAATTATTTACAACAAAATAAGATGAACTAACATTAAATAATTGATTAGGATCAGTTTTACTTTTAAATTATATTGACATAAAATCTCTGTTACACATGTGTACTATGTTTTTTTAACCCAGCTCAGAGAAAGGATTTGACTTTTCTAGTATCTAATAAGCTCCTGGACAATAAAATATAAAGTCTACAATATACAGGACATGGAATGCACTCAGAGTTTGAAAGTCTTCAAATACATTCCAAAAATAAAAAATTCATATTTACATTAGGTCTGTTAGGTCCAGGAGGTACTGCATTCATTAAAGTATACATGTTATCGCCAGAGTTCGTTGAATCTGAAACAAAATATTACTTAATTAAAAGATTTCTGAAACAAAACATTACTTAATTAAAAGATTTCTTTAGAATCTATACCCAATTCATCACAAAGTAATGATCAAAGACGGTTTTCCTACATATACCTCTCTATATATAACCTGCAACACTTGAAATTGTCATTACTAATATTCAAAAACAAATACCCACAGTAATTTTCTGACCCCAAAATTATCATTCTGAGGTTATAAATTAGGTATAAGGAATAATCAGGTAATATTCAATAATTCAGGTAAAGGAACATGAGAAATCTAAAAAATAACAGTGAAGTTTTTCTTTTTTAAAAAACAGATACTTTTCACTTTTTCAAGCAATTGTGTGTGTATCTGTATATATATAAGATATATAATATCTCTTAAAAATCAGATTCAGTAGCTTTTCAGTTTTCATTATTTCCTTAAGTTTCCTATATACAAATTTTAAAAAGTTTTTTTAGTTAATAATTAGTGAAAACTGGTGGACTATCCTGGCTTAATTCCAAAAGAAAGAGATTAGAGAAAGACTATATAATTAGAATAATATAATACTCTTGTTTGAACTAAAAGTCAGCATCCTCCAGCACAACTTTTGATAAATGTTTTCACTCATTTTTGATTATAATAAAAATATCTGTACTGTATATTGATATAAATATATGTAACATTGTGCAGTACTTAAAAAATTTGTATTTCATGTCTGTTAGCTAATTCTAATTAAGTCTCTGAGCATACATGTTTTTAGAATGCAAAACCTAGAGTGAAAGCTAAATATTTTACACTGAGAAAATATAAATGATGAATTATGGTTTCCTATTTTTCCACATTATACAGTTTTCTTAATATAATGTAGTAGGGCTTGCCTCCTTGCTTGTGTGTGTATGTATGTATGTATGTATGTATTTATTTATTTATTTAGAGATGGAGTCTCACTCTGTCACCCAGCATGGAGTGCAGTGGTGCAATCTTGGCTCACTGCAACCTCTGCCTCCCAGGTTCAAGCGATTATCTTGCCTCCGCCTCTGGAGTAGCTGGGACTACAGGTATGTGCCACCACATCTGGCTAATTTTTTGTGTTTTTAGTAAAGACAGGGTTTCACCATGCTGGTCAGGATGATCTCAATCTCCTGACCTCGTGATCCACCCATCTTGGCCTCCCAAACTGCTGGGGTTACAGGTGTGAGCCACTGTGCCTGGCCAGTAGGCCTATTTAAAAAAAAATGTGTTTCGAAATTTTTGTACTGATTTGAGACAGAAGGTAAATCATTTGCTTTCACATGGCAGTAACCATAGAGTGTCAATTACTTTCCTTTTACTGTGGGATTACTCATTAGACATTAATAAGTTTATTATTTTAGTTTGTACTACTTACAGAGTAGGTCTCATGTCATTTATTTATTGACTGTCAACAATGATCCATAAATCTAAATACTGTATTTTACTTCTAGATGAATATATCATAATGTTGAAAAGTTGGAGTGCCCACCTCAAGCTGACCCTCTTTGTTTATTCTAAGGAAGGTTCCAACCTGCTTTTGTGGCCTTAACTGTTTTTACATCCTTATGTATGCTATACTCCTGTCAACCCAGGCTACTTGTTTTGTTCCTGCATGTGACCAACCTTTCCACCTCCAAGTTTTTGTTCTTTCTTCCTCCAAACATCTTCTCAATCTCTACATACAGAAATTCTACTCACTGTTGAAGGGCTATCTCAAATGTTATGTCTTCTATGAGGTTTCTTCCTGGTAGTTCCAAGTGCATGAGTGCTCCCCCACCACTGATTCTGTCTTACATTACAGTAATATTTTACTGCTTTATTATCTCCTCCTGCTTCCAGCTAGGATATAATAAGCTCATGGAGAGAAGGAAAGGGACCATGTCCTACTCATCTTGTGTACTCAGGACAATCGGTACTGTTAACTTAGATTTAACTGTTGGAATAAATTCAATCACACATAAAACTAACTTAAATCTTGGATTGCTTTTTAAACATAGGAAATCTTCGAACGGTTTTTCAAATGTATTAGCCTTACTCTTGGTGAAAGGAAGATGGGCTATATATTTTAAATACGTAGAAAGAAAAGAAATTTATCATTTTAAAGACTAATCAAGTATGTAATTTTATCTGCTAAGAAAAAATTTGAGAGGGATAACATTGTTATTTATGGCTGGGCGCGGTAGCTCACGTCTGTAATCCCAGCACTTTGGGAGGCCAAGGTAGGTGAATCACTTGAGGTTAAGAGTTCCAGACTAGCCTGGCCAACACAGTGAAACCCCAACTCTACTAAAAATACAAAAATTAGCTGGGTGTGGTGGCAGGTGCCTGTAATTTCAGCTTCTCAGGAGGCTAGGGTAGGAGAATCGTTTGAATCTGGGAGGCTGAGGTTGCAGTGAGCTGAGATTGTGCTACTGTACTCCGGTGTGGGCGACAGAGACTCTGTCTCAAAATAAATAAATAAATAAATAGAATAAAAAAAGATTGGTATTTACTGGAAAACGTCTGACTTCTGACTTCTTTTTATGTACAGAAAAACTTTAAAATAAAGTGGATCTCCTGGGACCTCTTGTCTTGTGGGTGGGGTGTTGGCTGAGTATTAGGGGAGTGACTGTGACACAGGATGAACACATAAAAGTATACCAAAAGACTAGGAAGATATACTTATGGCAATTTCTGGTTTGAAACTAGGAAGATATACTTAGGCAATTTCTGGTTTGAAAGGAAGATGTGATAAAATTACTTATTGCCTGCAAAGTTCAGTGTTTCCCCAAAAACACTTTTTTTAGTCTTGTAGTAAAGCACTTACTATTCACATGCTACCCTCATAAATTAAACATTAACTTCACCATACAAGAATGTAAATACGGGCAAGACGATCAGGTGATGTAATTCTATCTTCAACGAATTGTTTCATTTTCAATTAAGGTGCCTTTGGGACACAGACCATTAAATATCCAAGGAGTCAGTGAGGCAAAGTAAAATTTTGTATTAATTATCAAGCTTATAATTTTTCTAAATTAAAAGGGTTCAAAATTAAAATTTTTTATTGATATGATCAATGATACTGAATTTCAAACTTCTATCTTAATTTCAACAAGCCAGTTAAAACGATATGAGTTGAACAGTAAAACATCATAATCAAAAATACTTTATAATTACTAAAATTTCTCATCTACTTAATCATCCCAAAGTAATAACTGATAAATTTTTAGTCTATTTCTTTGTTTTCTACTTTTTACTTTCTAGATTCGTGTTATATATAGTTTCCAATGAAACTGTGATCATATTGCATTGAGTCATGAGATTTTGTTTTTCCATGCCATTACAAATTCTTTGATAATAATTTTAATGGCTCTATTATATTCCATCTTATGCCTTAAACATTAATTTAATAATTTCACTAACTTGAATTAGGCATGAAGTTTGTGTCTACAGTTTTACTCTTGAGTATAACAAATGAGCATTCTTCAACATAAATCTTGGGTTTTGTAGCTCTATCATTTCTAGTATTAGAATTACAGAGTCACATAGTATGAACCTTTTCATGGCTCTTGACACATTTTATCAGAGAACTTTCTATGAGGGGTGTGTCAATTTCGTCCTCCACTGTTAACAAACCCAAGACACATTTAATAGTCTGTATTAAAGTCTCAAAAATAAAGGATAAAACTATTTAATTATATAAAATGATTATGAAAATACTGAAGTACGTTTTAGTTTAGAAGATTAAAAACACTTTTATTATTACATAGTGAATTTATTAGCTAACTAATACATACTGATAGGCATGTAGGGTAAATAATACTGTACGTAGGTCTCCATCCTTCATTTATCTTAGTAAGATAATGGATGTGGTGAGTCTGATTTGGCATTTTAAACCTAATGGATCCATGTATTTAATGTTTTATTTATTCAGAATTTTTCTAAATTGTAGAATATTTGGATAGTTTTCTCAGTCTCAATAAATCTTTAAGTTAGACACATTTTTGGGTAATTCATACAGATCAACAGTGTTCATCCTGATTAAATCTGATACTCACAACACAGGAATTTTCTAAATTCTTAATTGAATAATAGTTATTTAAGAACACTATTTTTTCCTACCCTGTTGCCTCTACTCCTTTAACCATTATGAGAAAATGACTACTACTGATTTTATTTCATGAACAATTTCTATATTCTGTGATTTTATTCTAATTATCAAATGCCCATGTGGCTAGTTTGATTACAATACCTGCTGGACTAGGCATGATGGGTGTTCCTGGTGGCCCTCCACCTCCTGGAGGACCCTAAATAATTATACAAAATTTCAGTAAAAATAAGGCATTGCATAAGATAAAACAGAAGAAAAGTTAGACATATCTACAATAATCCAATTTGAAAGTAAGAGTGGAAATGTATTTTCTCTATATTTTCTTTGAATGCACAATCATTTCAATATTCTACAAAACATAATTTAGCTTAAATATGTTGAGATTGTTTTGACAAATTTCCAAAAACAAGGAGCCTGTAACAACACTAATTCATTATTCATGAATTAATCATATCAGTTATAATGAGGTTAAGCAGAAACCATTCAATAGGGCCTTTACAAATCCATAAAACAGAAATAATTCATTGTATTTTTAATTTTCATAGAAAGCTAAAATGATATTCACTTAAAGAATATCTTTAAAAACAAAGACATTTGCCTATTGACTTATATTTTTTAAAAATGCATTGCTGTCATTTCTTCTCTCAGCATCAATTTCAACGTTTCTGGAGCCCTGTACCTTCCACTATCACATCAGTTAGAAATGAGAGGCAATGTTGACTAATGCTGTGGGTTACTGAGGCTGCAGCTACACAAGCAAACTGAAATGGAGATTAGGTGATTCTAAAGTTAATTCAATTATTTCAGATAACCAAAATAGATAATTCAGGCAATGGGTTTTAGGCCTTTTCAGATGCTCTATGTACAGTGATCAAATTAACTTTTAAATGGTGAAATTTTAACCTCATTCTGAATGTACAGATATGGCCTGCCAATTATTTCAGATGAGATCAGGCACATTCAGGGTGGTATGGCTGTAGACCTGCCAGTTATTTCAAATAATATCTGTATTTGCACAACTTAAAATTTATTTTAAATATCTATAATTTCATAAAATGATGTATCAGCCTTATTTATTAGTGACTTTAAGAAAAAATAAGTATACAAATTTTCTTACTTTCATTTTTATTTCATAGAAAATGCAAAGCAAGACTTGCTTAGTTTTATAGGTTACAGGAACATTGAACACTAAATTCACAGATCCAAAGCAATGTGTGCCTTTCACTATGTTAATAATACACTATTTCCATGGACAGTGAAATGCTCACTGATTTTCTTCTTATGCATTCAATTTTTCCTTCCAGCTAGCCACCACCTCTGAACATTTCTTTAGGAAAGATTTCCCTTGTTACCATTTTATCCCTGTTTCTCTGTTAGGCATTTCCCTTTAAATGGTGTAATGTATTTTCTTCTCTGTTCACCTTTTGATGTAGCAATGATCATAATGTGATGATGATTAAAAGGTCATTTATAAGCTCAGGAGGTCATATAAAACTTGTTAATTTGACTTCACACTGATATGAATTTTTGGAAAATTTTAATGTGTACTAAATATTAATAAGAATGATAAAAATAAATCTTCTCAATTTCAAAGAATGACCAAAAAATGAAATAATCCCTCTAAATTATTGGTCATTATTCTGCCATCTAATTCATTTGTGATTGGAAGAAAGTTAATGTCTTCTTAGATGCTATGTGTGGAGCATAGGGTTGGATGGGGGTGGAGATTATTCTCCTGGAGAACTGCAAATTCAAGCGTATTACCATGTAACTGGGGATTACTCTCTTCATGATTGGACAGAGTGTATTGTACTGGTTTTCAGAAACATATGCTGAAGTAAAACACAGTACTCAGGGCAATTCTGGCCAGATTGATAACTGTTTCACTAATGAACATCAACATATGTACTGAGGTTGGCAGATGAAACAACTCAAGATGTTCACTTCTTGGCCAATACACAGGGGCTCTTCTTAACATCTGGACAACTATTTCATTGCCCAAATAAAATGTAACATCAATTCTTATGAGCAAACAAACCCAAATGTACTTACTACATAATTCCCAGGAGATGCTGAGGAGTATGGTATCTGGAACATGAATAGGACAAAAAAAAATATTGATTCACGTAGCAATATGGACAGTGACCTAAAATGAATTTATTTCATGATTTTTTTTGTCAAATTTTAAAATGTATCACAAAGCATAGTAAAGGATAAAGAAATTTATATCTGTTTAATTGCTGGATAACTGAATAATAATACCTTGGATTTACACAAAAGAAGGTAGATTTTAGTCAAGAGGATTTTAAAGAGAATAACTTCTTTTAAGTTATATTGATTTCAGGTAAGTTATACACATTGTATGATGCTAATTACTTATTCTGTAAGTAGAAATACACATATTTGTGTACCTAAAAAGTGAGAAACCAGAATTTTTCAAATTAGTGGTCTTTACACATGCAATTTCTAAGCTATGCACTTTTTTTTTAAGACAAGTTCATGCAGTACGGGTTAATACTTGATAAATAGCCCTTACTACTTCCCTGTCCCTTTCTAATTAGCTACTAGAAAACAATATAATAAATGCAAAAAAGTTTGTTAATACAATCTCCAAAGACTATTAATTTGTGGGGATCAGATGTGGGTAAGAAACTCTCTCTCTTCAAATCAAGCTCTTCACCAAGCTCTTTTCTAGAGATTAGAAGGTACTAATACCACATTGCTATGATACTTTAAGAAATGAAAAACCGGAAAACCTATGTTTAAAAGCCCTACAGTGTATATATTAACAGGGAAAGTTAAATCTAAATATTTTCTTTTTTCACACGAGCTCACTAGCTCACTTGCATGAAGATACTGTACATCCATAAGAGATATTTTTGTCTTATCCTGAAAAACACCAATAGATTACTCTCTACTCAAGTCAGACAGCCAAGGCCAGAACAGGATCTTTAGAGTAGTGAAAGATTAGTGCCTGTACTATTCTAAATCCTCTCTCTATCCCAATACCTGCCATATAATTAAACATAAAAATAATATAAAACCATAAAGTATAAGAAAGTCTAACAAAGTTATGATTTCCTCTTGATAAACAATTCTTTGATTTTTTGGGAAATATTTAATAATAAGTTATTTGAAAAGCTTTTATCCTCCTTATTTGGTATTCCCGCTTTGCCTTAATCACAGACCTGCTTGGTCTCGCTGTGGATAATTCAGCACTGCAGATGACCACTGCTAGAACGCCCAGCATCACTAGGGATGAGAATTATTTCTGCTGAGTACTAAGATGTTTTTATGGCAGCAAACATTTACTTGACTTAATGAATGAATGCAACTTTGCTCTCTTGGGTCCCTTTCAGTTCATGATCTACCTACCATCCATCCTCTGTTTCTCAGTTTTTTGGAGAGAACAAGGTCTTTCTTGGTCACCCAGGCTGGAGTGTAATGGCACAAACATGGCTCACTGCAACATCGACCTCCTTGGCTCAAGAGATCCCCCTACCTTATCCCCACAAGTAGCTGGGACTAAGGCATGCATCACTGCACCTGGCTAATTTTTAATTTTTTGTAGAGATGGAGTTTTGCTATGTTGCCTATGCTGGTCTCAAAATCCACCTGTCTTATTACCTCCCAAAGTGTTGGGATTATAGGCGTGAGCTGCTATGTTGGGCCTACTTCTTATTTAAATGTGAGCCTGCCCTTTCCGAACCACCAATTTATCTACTGGCTTCTAGGACCAACTTCATCTCTCTCTGTCTTTAGCACTTGACTCATGTTCTTTTCTGTCACTCTATATTGCCTATCATCATTCTTAAGCAACCTTAAGATACAATCTAAATCACCTTTAGATCATGGGAATTTACAGTTCACTGCCTTCCTTTACTTTACATTAGTCCCCTCTCCTCCATTTATGAGTTTGGTCACATCCTAGAACTCTTTACTAAACAACTAACTCCCTTGCCCGACATCTTTCTTATTCCTCATGACACTTAGAAAAATTACTCAATATTCCAACCATAATTTTCTCACATCACAATTCCACCATGTTTACAAACTACATTACTTCTCTATTAGTTTATGACTAAATTGCCTCTGCCCCTCCTTAATGGTACTGTCAACATTTTATTTCTCTCTCCAATGTCTTAATTCATTATCATAAAGCCTACTTTGTTAACTTCCATTTCTTTGATCACCCTCTAGCCAGCCAACCTTTCTGTTTTAAAGCAGAGATTTCCTGGAGGGAAACAAAAAAACAAGGTTGATAAGATCCAAAATGTAATCATGCTTTCCAACTTCTACTTCATCTTAACTAATATCTGGAAGCATTTTTGGCTCAGCCTTTATGAAGGCCTTGAAGATTACTGGTGATGTATCAGTAAACCCAGTAAACTTCATGGGGAAGAAAGTGCCCAGATTTACAGTATTTGCCAGTTACTATGGTGTAAATATTCCCACATGGCAGATTTCAAGCTACCAGTGGTTTAACAAACAGTTAGTGAAATTCCTGAATATTTAACAATGGACTCTTGTGAGCCAGTGCTCATGGTGATTATCCATCCTGAGTAAATATTTTGTCTTCCTGTCATACATTGAAGGAATCGTGCTCTTGCTATACATTCATTTTCAGCTCAACATTCCATCATTTATAGATTTAAATTTTCATGTATTCATTCCAGATAGGACAAAACAAACAGTTTGTTTCCAAAGGTAGCTCCTCCCAACTATCTCATTCTTCTTGTGAGTCCTTGCTCCTTTTATATTATATTATATTATTTATTTATTTTTCAAAACAAGAGTTTCCCTCTTGTTGCCCAGGCTGGCATGCAGCAGTGCGATGTGGGCTCACTGCAATCTCCACCTCCTGAGTTCAAGCAATTCTCCTGCCTCAGCCTCCCAAGTAGCTAGGATTATAGGCTCTTGCTACCACGCCTGTCTGATTTTTATATTTTTAGTAGAGTCGGGGTTTCACCATGTTGGCCAGGCTGGTCTTGAACTCCTGACCTCAGGTGATCTACCCGCCTTGGCCTCCCAAAGTGTTGGGATGATAGGCGTGAGCCACTGGGCCCAGCTATCTTTTATATTTTTAATTTCCCTTTCTTCATGATTCCTCCAAACAGTTAAATATAATAAACATTTAAAAATACTTTAAAAAATGTTATCTCTACTAGTTGTTCAATTTCTGTCAAGCTCTTTAATTTTGGCTTACGCTGTTTCTACTTCATAGTCTTTGATGTCTTTATTAAAAATCAGCATTTGGGCTCTTGGCCCTAGGACTGGTATCTTTATGAAAGACATAAAATGTAGTAAGATAGGTAGAAGTACCATCTGGGTACAGAAGATATATCTGAGCTGGAGAGCTGGGACTTACAGAGAGTAGCTCCCTATCAGAAAGACAAAGAGAAGAACTGCTATTAAAAAAAAAAACAAAGAAAGAAAAGAAATCATGGTTTATTTGGGAAACACTATGCTATGTTATATAGCTGCTATGGTGTGCGGCTTAAAGTGAGTTGTGGTAAAGGGTGAGGCTACACAGTCAGACGATGAATTTATGCTGTAGAAAATAGAGTCATGGGTTTTATGGAGACATGTTCAAATGTATGTTTCTAAAATCATTTTTTATTTTTAAATGTTTTGTACAGACAGAGCCTCACTTTGTTGTCCCAGCTGATCTCAAATCCTTGGCCTCAAGCTATCCTCCTGACTCAGCTTCCTAAAGTGCTGGGATTACAGGCATGAGCCACCTCACCTGGCCCTAAATTTATGTTTTAGAAAAATAAGTCTAGAGACATCATGGAATATGAATACAAGTTAGAAGACCACTGCAAAAAGTCCAGGCAAGAGATGACAAATAATGATAGGCAGTGCTGATGAAAATAAGCAGGAGTAGGATAATTTGAGGGTCATTTCACCAAGTATTTGGCAGAGCTTGGTGACAAACTGGGTGTGGTAGACAAAGAAAGGAAATTAAGATAATTACTAGGTTTTTATCTACCCATCACTGGGTAGATGATGGTGCTACTCATTTATACATTGGGAATTCAGGAAGTGGGGCAGGTTTGGGGAAATGTCTGATTATTGGATTTGAAGGCACCAGTAGACACTGAAGTGGATATATGATAAACAAACTTTTAAAAATGTAGGTCTAGAAAGTATTCGACACCAGGACTAAAGATACAGCTTCAACTGAATAGATTTCTACTTTGTGTTGGGCAAGATACTTGATCTAGGATTCAACTAGATTTTTGATAGTTGAAACAACATGGTAGCATTAAAATGAAAAAAAAAAAGGAAAAAAAAAAAAAAAAAAAAAAAAAAAAAATTTTAAAACAAAAAAAAAAAAAAAAAAAAAAAAAAAAAAAAAAAAAAAAAAAAAAAAAAAAAAAGCAGCCAAGAAATGTAATTAGAAAACATTGCTAATTAAGAATGGGTGGAGACCAGGCATGGTGGCTCATACCTATAATCCCAGAACTTTGGGAGGCTGAGGTGGGAGGATTGCTTGAACCCAGGAGATTGAGACCAGCCTGGACAATATAGTGAAACCCTGTCTTTACAAAAAACAAAAAAAAATTAGCCAAGCATGGTGGCATGTGTCTCTAGTCCAAGCTACTCAGGAGGCTGAGGTGGGAAGATTGCTTGAGCCCAGGAGGTGAAGGTTGCAGTGAGCTGAGACTGTACCACTGCACTCCAGCCTGGGCAACAGAGTAAGACCCTATCTCCAAAAAAAAAAAAAAAAAAAAAAAAAAGAGAGAGAATTGGATATGAGAAAATCAGGAAAAATATAAAAAGTCAAGCAAGCCACATTTTTAAGAGGCAGGTAGTGGATGCAGATTGACTAGAAAATATCTAAACTGGGTTTATTCTTGAAACCTGTCAGGTTTAAGCTTTTTACCTTTCTGTGATGCACCTAAAAGTAAATAGTAAAAAAGTAACAGAAATATGGAAAACTAAAGAAACATTATTAAACTGAAAAAAGAAAAGATATGAAGACAAAACCAAGGAGTCAAATATCTCAAAGGTTAGATATGATGAGGACAGAAAAGTCGCTGTGTCTGGTTGGTGAGTAGAAAGTCACTAATAACCTTCAGAAT